GGACAACTGCTACTTTTAACTTATAGTCTTGACATAGCTTCTGAGAATGCTGTCTTTGGTGCTCAAACACACTTTGGTCTCAGCAAAGCAGCCAGAAAAGACAATTAAGTGTAAATCATATTCTAGTTTTCTGTTTGATTCTCCTCAATGGATTATTGTCATATAGAAAGGAATCCTTATGCTCTCCTAATATCTGTCAGGTCCTCCAGGGTTTGGTCCCCACCCATCTTTCCTGACCTTATTTGCTAACTCTCTTACATTTTCTAACTCCCTCCAGCATCCCTGGCCTTTCTCCTGTTCCTCACACACACCACAATGTGTGAACATGGGGGTATTGAAATGTCAGACCCAGCTGAGAAGAACTTAATTAAAATTAGAAAAGAGAAGAGAAATTGAGGGGTGAAAAACTTCAAGAAGGTGGTAAGGATAAGATTCTAAGCCCAGGTGGAAAAATGTCATATTCGATAAAAGAATATGACTCCCTTAGTCTCTTTTCCCTCTTTCTCTCATCTCTTTCTCTTTTTCTGTGTGTGTGTGTGTGTGTATGAATGCAAGTGTGTTATGTATACATAGGTGTGCACCACCTGTGTATATGGAGGTCAGAGGTCAAACTCAGTTGTTCTTGATCAGGTACCACCTACATTATTTTTTGAGATAGAGTGTCTTATTGGCCCGGCAATTTCCAAGTAGGCTGAGCTGGCTGACTACCAAGCCCCGTGGTTCCAGTTGCCGTTGCATCCCGAGTGCTAAAGTGTAAGAATGTGCCACCGGATTCAGATTTTTATAAATGAGGATCCTGGGAGTCAAACTTAGGTCTCCATCGTTTGCGTGGTGAACACGCTAGTGACTGAGCAAACACCCCAGCCCTACTTCCTCCAGGGTTATAGGGAAAGGAGACCAAGACACTGCAGAAATAGTTGCTAGATCAGAGGCCCAGATAAGAGATCTGGGAAGGAGAAACAGCAACAAAACTTATTACAATAAAACCTGTCCAGAAGAGAAGAGATTAATGGCTTGACAGTCACTCAAGAGATTGTCACCAAATTAAGTTCTGAGTAACTTAGCTGTTAAACTAAGAAACAAAATACATACTCAGTGAGACCTTGGGTTCTGAGCCTGTTTCCGTCTGTGCAGAATGGGACTAGTGAAGAAACCTGGTACTTTTATTAAAATAGTTAATTACATAGCATTATAATACTCTTCATTTGTCAGAAGTCACAGCTAGGCTGCATGCTCCAAGTTTGTTTATTCATTGTTATTTTAATAGTGAATGATCATTTATGAAGTGAATAAATAAACAAGTGAGTGAATGAATGAAAGGGTGAGTTTTAGAAGAGGGAGAACTGTTAAATCATAGAATTGCAAGAAGCCACTGGAGATCTCATTGGCAAAGAGACAGCTAGATCTGAATTCAGTGATCCAGTTTTGCTTATCCTGAATGTCCAGCTGGGAGAATGTCCTTGAATTTCATGCTTGGCACCTTCACCTGCAGCAATACCATCAAAGCCACCTCAACTCCTCTTCTGCTATATGCTTTATTCACTATTTCAGCCGCGTATTCCTTTTGCATCAAATGCTGAGCTGGGCATGTACACAACCTCCCATATCAACTGGATAATAGGTTGGGAACCACTCCATCCTAGATGTTTTGAATAAAAGATTTAAGATCCACAAGAATCTTGACAGACTGTCAATTAGCTGGAGTAGAGGAGATGAATTTGAATGGGACTTAATGTAAAGTAAGCATTGAGGTCTAAGGAGTGAATACAAAGAATGAATAAGAGAAGTTGTACAGCCATTTCTAAGCTAAGGAAAAATGCAACAAGGCAGACATGCAAAAATGCAGCCCAGGGACCCAAAATTTCAGAGAAGCCATGCAAAAAGAACACTTTTCAGAAGGTTGTCTTTCATCAACATTTCCTCAATGTTTTTGTAATGTGCTATGTTCCTGATTGCCCATCAGCCTCTAAATCAAGAAGTACAGTTGGTGACATTGGTTTGAATTGGAATTTGCCTTATTCTAGAACAGACCCTCAGGTCAGCCTTTCCTTTCAGTCAAATGTAATGTTCCCCTCTGCCCTTCTGTAAGAATTGCTCTGAATATGACCCTAGACAGCTGGCTTAAGTGAAAATAAGATTCTGGCGTGCACGAGGTGCTCTCTTAAGCCTCTTAAGCGATCCACCTGCATGATCACATTTAGTCTTCATCTCAGTCCTGAGAGCACGGGATTTTATTGGCCCCATCTTCTGGGTGAGAAATCGAGGCTGAGAATGCTGTAAGGGACATCACTGAGACAACAAAGATCATCGGAGCATTCAGGCTGTCACATTAGACAGGTCTACACTCAAACACTGTTTCTCAGCCTCAGTTTCCAAACAAGACCATCATGGGTAGTGAGGTCAAACCGGCACACACACACACACACACACACACACACACACACACAGAGAGAGAGAGAGAGAGAGAGAGAGAGAGACAGACACTGTCAATACTGTGCAGACTATGTCATCTCCAAACAAACATGGCCATGCCGGTGGCTTTGATCTGAGAACTACATTCTGCCCAACCAGTGTACTCTAACAAGGTCTAGTTCTAGCGAATTTTTCTACCAGGCAAATTCCTCATGCTTAATAAAGAGCTTGCTGTGAAAGCTCAAAACCCAGCAGCAATTAATTATTGACAGAGCATGCGAATTAGAGATAAAAGAAGTCATTCTTTCTCCACACAAGTGATAGTAAATAAATTTAATTATGGTAGGAAAGGCTAAGGGATCTTTGTCTGTATTAAGTTTTATTAGCTGAGACATTTAAACGCATGTCATCATAACAAAGAGGTCTTGTGTAATCCTGAATGTACCACTTTGGTGCAGGGCTCAGAATTGAGTGGATTTAATGGAGCACCTGGTGGCAGATGGCCCACTGTACCAAAAGGTATTGAACACGTTTATCCCCAATTAGCACTGGTCCACATATGCCTACAGCAAACTGGCTGCATAATAAAATCCGGAGCCTCGTTTTTAATCACTTATTGGCCCTCCACACTGGGCATCAAATTCCCTCCCTGAAGGAAAACATGGATGCAGGGGTGGAGATGGAAAGTATTTTGTTAAAGTGTCTAACAGACAAGAAGTGTGATGTGGGATCTACATTAGTCAGCAGCTTTCCATGACTGTGAAAGACCCCTAAGACAGTCAACTTAGTAGGAAGTTAGGTTGATGGAGGTTTCAGAGATTCCAGTCTGTGGTTGCTTTACCTCATTGATTTGGAGTCTGTGACAACATGTGGAAGGAGTTCATCATGGACGGAGTATACCACATGACCTCGACACAGAAGTGAGAAAAAGAGACAGGGGATGTTGCGGTCATCATATTCACCTGTTAAAACTTTTTAAAGATTTATTCATTTATGTATGCGTCCTTTTGCCTGCATCTATGTTTGTGCACCATGTATTCACCTGGTGCCTGTAGAGTTAAGAAGAGGGGGTTAGGTCTTTTGGAATTGGAGTTTTAGATAGTTGTGAGATGCCCCGTGAGTACTGGGAACCAAACACAGTCCTCTGCAAAAGCAGCAAGTGCTTTTAACCCCCAAGCCAACTTGACGGCCCCTTAATATGTCGTTTCAAAGCATGGCTCCAAAGACCTAACTTCCTCTCATTAGACTCCACCCTCAAGGATTCCATCACCCTACCCAGGTTGGAGACAAAGCCTTTAACATATGGCTTTGGGAGATTATTCAAGATCCCAGATAGAGCAGGCTCTATGAGAGGTTTACTGGGCACACTTGAAAACAAAGAAAGAAGAAAATTGTGTATGTTGAACCCAGTTTATGCTTGCATTCTGTATCTCATTTTGGTCTTAAATGAACTTACGGTGAGTATTGGGACTTTAAAATGAAGATGTCATACCACAAGGATATTCTTAATTTTTCTGAGGACACAAAGCTTGTCTGATTTCTTTATCACTGATTTTTTTTTCACTTATACAACAATGTTTTGTGAAGTAACTCAGAGGTCAGAAAACCACCTTAAAAGACAAAATAATGCATATTTCAGGTTCTGTGGGCCACACACCCGTTGCATCAACCAATTTCACTTGCACAAGTAGCACATTAGACAATATGCAAATGAGTAAGTGTGGCTTCATTGGAAGGTTTATTTACAAGCATTGAAATTTAAATTCTGCATAATTTTCATTTATCATAGAATGCTGCTATTACTATCATTTGGGTTTTTCCCATAGCCATTTAAAGATTACAAATCCTTCTTAGCCATGACTCATACACAAACAAGAGACAGTGAGAATTTGCCAACACTGGACTAGATAATCTCTGAGGTCTTGTTGAGCTCAAATATTTCCTGAAAGCTACTACGACAATAATAAAACCCTTAATTTATTGAGCTCATGTACACATGAGATTCCATGCTAAATGCTTTTCAAACATGATCTCCCTTAATCCTCACACTACAGTGGGAAGTCAGTGCTATCATTATCTCCATTTCAGAGATTATAAAACTAATATATAAAGAAATTAAGGGCATATCTAGGTTAAATACAACTGGTAAGAGGTAGAAAAGCAGTTTAAACCAAGGGATACAAGACTCCCAAGGAATAATGCATAAGCATTACCCTGCCTGTTCTGATAATTACATAGTCAAGCCTATGGTTGGAAGACAGAGATAAATAGACCTGCCCAGTGCTTATCTGTTCTCTTTGGCGGGGCTTCTATCTAGGTTATGATTTCATATAATTTGTGCAAAAATATTAAAATATCTTGGGTATAGTAATGACCACTGTATTTCTCCTTTCTTTGTTCTTCCAGAAACGTGATGCCCAAGACAGTGGATGGGCAGATAACCATGGAAAAGACCCCCAGTTACTTTGTGACAAGTGAGGCTCCCAAGCGCATTCACTCTATGGCCAAGGACATCAAACTCATTGTGGTGGTACGAAACCCAGTGACCAGGGCCATTTCTGACTATACCCAGACACTGTCAAAAAAGCCAGAGATCCCCACCTTTGAGGTGCTGGCCTTCAAAAATCGGACCCTGGGGCTCATTGATGCCTCCTGGAGTGCCATTCGCATTGGGATCTATGCTCTACACTTGGAGAACTGGCTGCAGTACTTTCCCCTCTCTCAGATCCTGTTTGTCAGCGGCGAGCGACTCATAGTGGACCCCGCAGGGGAGATGGCCAAAGTACAGGATTTCCTAGGACTCAAACGTGTTGTGACTGAGAAGCACTTTTACTTCAACAAAACCAAGGGATTCCCCTGCCTGAAGAAGCCAGAAGACAGCAGTGCCCCAAGATGTTTGGGCAAGAGCAAAGGTCGGACTCATCCCCGCATTGACCCAGATGTCATCCATAGACTTCGGAAATTCTACAAACCCTTCAACATGATGTTTTACCAAATGACTGGTCAAGATTTCCAGTGGGAACAGGAAGAGGGTGATAAGTGAGGCTGACAGTATGGAGGGAAGGCTAATGAATAGCAAGGATACTCTTTACCGGAGTCCCAAATCCCCCAGGTTCTGAAGCTTCAGTCATGCTGGAGTACCAAGTAGATTGCTAGCCTGCTCCAGTCAAGTTACCTCCAATATTACAGGCTTAGGCAGAGGTAGAGATATCATGGCTTCCCTGTGGAGGAAGCAACAGTACCTGGTTGACCAGGTGGCCGCCAGAACCCACCATGAATAGTATCTTCTATTCATTAATAGAGTCTGAAAACAGGATAAGCATCTTTCGGTGTCACAGACAGATGCTATGTTGATGAGTGGCAGAAAGAGAGAGAGAGAGAGAGAGAGAGAGAGAGAGAGAGAGAAAGAAAGAAAGAAAGAAAGAAAGAAAGAAAGAAAGAAAGAAAGAAATGTGTACTTTGCAGGAGCTCTTACTATAGTCTTGGGAGTCTGGATTCCAGCCTTGTATTTAATCCCTGGTATGTAGACTTCTGCTCTGGCATCTCTCCAGAACACTATTTGTGGATGAGAGCTCCAAGACCTCCAGGGAGCAATATCCTCCTTCCAAGGCCTGTCTAGCCTTCCTATCAAAGGACTCATCCCACGACCCTTTGACTTCCTCCCTCCCCACAATGAAGGCAAAGACATGCACGTATGTTCCTCACCAAAAATAAATAAATAAATAAATAAATAAAATAGCCTACACCCCTGGAGCCTTCTATCTGAGAGCCATCCAAGGTGGGTCTCTCTCTCCATGAGTATTCTAAATTACAGAGAAACTTAGCATACATCCTCACATTGGAATATGGCCCACATGAATGCTCCCAGAACAGGGAGACAGCATCTGTGTTTTGAGCCCTGAGGTTGGCAAAGATGAATGCTTGTAACTGTGGTTTACAGAAAAACGCAGTCCTTTTGGTGGGAGGCCCTTACCTAAAGGTCTTTGTCCTTAGGGATGGTGGTCCTGAGACCACCATCTCTGGGGGTTAGACTATGCCCTAGAGGCAAAGACCGGAGCTTGCTTGTTAGCTGTTCTGAGTAACCCTTCTGGATGCAGAGAGGAAGGGAGCACTCAATGTTTTTCTATTTGTCTCACCACTGCCCCCTCAGGGTCACCTCATGGTTCATTTTTCTCTACTCAGAGATGGCATTTATTGGGCCATTGGCAAGAGAGAAGATTTTCAGTGTGAAGTGGGTGGGGAGGGCAAGGACTGTCTGCAGACATCCTTTTCAAGGGCTGCCAAATAAAGTGTCCCTTCCCATTAGTATGGTTCAATTAAAACACAGAATTTGACATAAAGCACTTGTTCGCAGATCTCCAAAGCCAAGAATTGTAGTAAAATTGGAAATTTGTATGAGCGGGGAGAGTTGAATCTGTTCAGCTGTTATTAAACTGTCATTTCTCCCGCTAAATGGAAACTGTGTTGTTATAAAGCTTAATGCAACCTGATTGATGGGTTTTGATGGTGTATTTGTGTTGGTCACTTCTTCCCTACCCCTACCCCTACCCTGGAATGCAGGGAATGGCCTTGTTCAGATGAACAGATAGACCAGGTTTCTAAGACTTTGCGGGGGGGGGGGAGTTGAATACAGGGCAGGGTGTTTCTTTCAGTAACACAAACACTATGGCCAGGGAAAGGGGTACTAGCTTTCATCACCCTGTGAGTGACAGACTGATAAACCAGATTCAGAAACAGCTGCACAATATATATATATATATATATATATATATATATATATATATATATATATTTACAGATAAGAAAAGTTGAGCTAAAGGCAACAGATATGCCAAAGTAAACAAAGCTATAGATCAAAATGCAAGTGGTCGCTTGTTTAAAGGAAGGGGATGCACACTGGTAAAGAAGGGTACTACATGCAGCTCATGTGAGCAGAACAAAGAGTGATGGGTGTCAGGCCTAGCAGAATCACCTGGGCAGAGTTTGTATAAGACATATCCTCAAGGCAAGCAGAGTGGAAGACACCTGTAACCAAGCTAGTCAGGGAGGCTGACACAGCCTCTTGGCTTTGAGGCCAGCCTATGACACACAGTGAGACATTGGCCAAAAGGGAGTAAATGCATAAATATGAGGGGGAAAAGAGGAAGAAAAGGGAGAGAAAGAAAGAAGGAAGAAAGGATGAAGGAAGATGGGGAGAGAACTAGGGAGGGAGGGAAGGAAGGAAGGAAGAGGGGTGAATTGGCAGACAGACATAGCTTCCTGAGCTCTAGAAGAGCTATGTGGTGGTATTGACCATTTCAGAAATGTTCTTAAGGAAACTGGGATTTAGAACCAGAGGAAAGTCTTTTGTTCCTTTGTGCTCTCTTCCTCACTCTCAACTCAACTCATGGTTTTACTTTCCTTGACAGCAAATCATGAGATTTACTGTCAAGGAAAGTGGTGCCAGGGTTTTGAACCCTACAAGGAAAGGTTACATCATCTTTGCAGAGCATGTTTTGTTTGGGAGTTCAGTGGCAAGCTAGGTTATGGTTACATCATAACTCTGTCAAAGGACGTTATCCAGTTCTAGAAAACTTCTGGAGACATACAGTGCCCATTCTGAGCCTGCAATTCTGTCCCATTTGGATGGGCACAACCCGCTTAAGCTCTCCAGTCGTTTTCTCTGTCTGCCTGTCCTCATAATCCCATCAAACTCACACTATAAGAGCTGCTTCCAAAAACATAGCTGCTAAGTGTGTGTCCTTACATAAATATTCCAAATAAAGACGACAAACTCTTTTTAATATGGTTAACAATAGGTAAATAAACCATTTCGCACTGTGAAATAAAAGTCTGAGCCCCACACCCCTTAAGCCATTCTGTATAAAGAAAGAGCAGAGGACTAAGCCTCAAGAGCAAGAGTTTGTTTGTTTGGTTTTTTTCTTCCATTTGGCAATATATTTGAAGAATCCTGATTCCGAAAAGAAATGCAACTTTGACATGTTTATGATTCTGATTTCTTCAGTGGCTAATATTTCTTCGACTCTCCAGCTCAGAATGAATGACTGAGCCTTGTCTGTTAGTGTGAAGGCTTGATGAATGAATCATTATCTATCCAGAAAAGCTAAACCAACATGCCAACATAGAGTCGGGCTAGAGTACTTCTGCCCTATTTAAATATGAGCATGGCAACTCCCAGGGAGATTGAACTTGGTATTTGATTTCAATTAGCAAGCATAAATTATATGTAATGCTCTCCTCCCCTCCCTTTCCTGGAAGGGGTGATTCATGGTTACTGCATGTGGTTCTAAATGAGAAAAGAACTCATCTTTCCAAATACTGTAGTGTAATTGCTACATCTCAGTTTGAAAGTGTACACCAGAAAGATAAAAAGCCATGACACTGAAGCTTAAGTTTACCAGCTCAAAGCTCAACCTATGAGTGTGTGCGTGTGTGCGCGTGCGTGTGCGCACACACACCCACACACCCCCACACACCATAGGAAAATTTCATAGCACACTGGTATATCTTTAGCCCATGCATGGACACCAAATGTCGGTGGACATATGACTATTTATGGGATTCCCTACAAGCTTAATGAGTATCTTCAACTAACCTCTGCAGATGATTTCCTTGACCCCTCCCATTCCTCCACACTATTATTTCCCAAGGAAATCTTCTCCATTGCTGTCAGAACAGGTAGTTGCCATTTACTCCTGTATCTATCTGTGAATTCTACAAAGAGAACAACCAATCTTACTTATCTTCATTTTTTTATATCTATAACAGAAGTATGTTTAATCCTTACCTGGGTATTACCCAAGGTTTCCATGGAGATGAAAATTACTTAATAGATAGAGATGTATCTGAAAAGAATAAAATATGTCATTGACAGGAAGGATGTTGCTGCTGATAACAATGATGATAATGATGCTGGTGTTGCTGATGCTGCAGAGTAAAGATGAAGATGATAGTGGTGATGGAGAGGAGGATGATAATCATTAGGATGAGAAGGAAGAGATGGATAGTTTTACGATACCTATTCCAGAATATATACCTTTATGGTGTTCTAAAATGGTGTTGTTGGGTAATTAATTCTACTGTTTTACTCACATTGAATAATCATGAAAATGCTGAGAGAAAGTAAAACACAGTAGATTTTCATAAAGCTCAGGACAGGAGATGTTTAAAAAATCTCCCTAAAAACAGAACTAAGTTGGCTGAAATTCACACATTCAAATGCAAAACCTTCTTTCACTCCACACTTAGAAAATTCACCTGACTCTCTTTAGCCTCTCTCTTGCTCCATATTAAAGGCTTTTTAGATGTCACAAGGATCCAGGATTTATCAACACAGGGCATGGTTCTTAGCTGAGTTCAGGGTCTGGTGTTCTAGCTCCTAAACTCTACATGATCAATGGAGTTGGTGGAGAGCCTGGGGGTGAGATTAAGAGCAATTGATACATGTTTCAGGGTGGGGACAGGTAAGGTCACAGGTCTGCTTTCTCAGAAATGATGGACTGTCTTCTTCAGGTAAGAGGTACATGAGATCACATCTTAAAGATCGTGAACTGTGATGAGGTAATAAGATACATCCAACGACATTCAAGGATGAAATACAGGAGAAATCATATCTGTACAGTGGGAGATGAGTAGGAATTTCTGAATACAGGAAAACAAGCCTGTAGATTCATCGTGTTTCATTCACCCTACCACTCCACACACATCTATTGAGTGATCACATGGCAGCAAAAGGAAATAGAGTTTGAGGAGGCAGAGGTTTGAGAGATGACTCAGTGTTAAAATCCCCAACTGCTCTTCCAGAGTACCTGGGGTTGATTTCCAGCACCCACGTGGTGGCTCACAAACACCTGCAACTCCAGTTCAAAGGGAGCTGATGCCTTTATTATTATTATTATTATTATTATTATTATTATTATTATTATTTTGGCCTCTATGAACACTGCATGCATATGGTGTACAGGCACACATGCAAGTGAAACACTTATAAAGACGGAATAAAATAATAATAAAAACATTCATTAAATAAATATGGGAAAAAGTTGGGCTGCCTCAACAGGACTCCCAACCCAGGAGGAAGACTGACAGAGGAATGCAAAGAGGAAAGTACTTACAGTGTCATGAGGAGTGCTTGGTGGAGGGTTCAAAAGATGGTAGTGGAGGTACAAAAATGGGAGAGAGCCAACAAGAGGAAAGAAGAGTTCCAAGTACTTCCGGCACTGAGAACCACCCTGGAGAATTTGCCTTGACTCCAAATCATAAGACTCTATGAGTTATACTAAAGTACAAAGCAGTAGCTGCTAATAAAATGAAATGCAAGTATGAACGTAACCCAGTAATTAAGGAAAGCTTGTGGGTAAAGATTTTGGATTGGAAGGAAAGTGTGCACAAAAACTTACCATCAAGAGAAAACATTTTCCAGAAGTAAAGATGTTCCTTTTCTCAATATCCATCAGGACATTAATGAGCATCATAAATCCTTCTGGAGACCTTTCATCTTCCTGTTTCCTTGACATTGTCCAAGGCCAAGGTTACAGGATGACTCTCTTCCCTTAGAGCAGTTTTACTTCACTGACCTAAATACCAAGCAGGAAACATCACAGTAATAGGAATTCTCTGTCTGAAAATGTGCTGAAATCAATACATGGTGAAAGTTTAAAGCACACACATACATTGTTATGGTTTGGGTGCAAAATGTTCCCCTAGAGGAATTTGTTAATGCCTTATCCTGGAGTGCAGTGTTCAGATGTGGGGCTTGAGAGCTAACAGATAGTGAGGGCTTTGAGTTCACTGATGATAAAGTCTTACTTTAATGCCATTATTGGCAATTGTTGGAAACCAGAAAGTGGGCCTGAATGCACATATCTCTTCTTCTCTTTGTTCCCTAACATGAAGTAAGGAGCTTTCCATAACCATGCCTTTATACCATGCTGCTTCTACTGTGCCAGAGGCCTAACAGCTATGGAGCCTGCTGACCACGGACTGAAACTCTGAGTCACAATTAATCTTTTCTACTCTTAGTTGATTCTCTCAGGTGCTTAGTCACAGCAATGGGATAGTGACTAATACATTCACTATATCGGTAAAGGTTCCCTAGGGAGGAGGGGAAGTGACCAACAGAATGGGCATGTATTACAAAGGGTATTTACATTACAGAATGGCTTTCACGGTTCAAGCTGGGGAGTTCAAAATGGTCTTTTCATGTTAGAGTGGCTGGAAACATGGCTTAGTCCATGGTGCTGGATGCCTCAGCAGCAGTCAAAAGTATATCATGCCTGGAGGATCCCTGGAGAGCTGCTGGTCTTCAATCCACAGTGGGAGAGTGGAGAAGCTGGGTTCCTGTGTCAGTAGCAGCACCAGAATAGAAGAACGCACAAGCAACTAGACAGGCAAGCAGACTAAAAGCAATGACCTTTTCTTTAGATTTTCTTGTCTGGACTGATGCCAAGAAGTGTGTCTTAGTTGATTTCATATCCAATCAGGTT